TGGGGTTTTTTTTATAAAAAAAAGTAAGAAAATAAAACATTAAAAAAATTACACATTACTGTAGTAGAAATTTTCTACATGCTAGCTTTGCCATTCAAATCTGAACAAAAATCACTGTTAAAATGACTTGGGTTTGGCAATGTTCATTGCATGGTATTTGGAGTTGAATGAGACATGACTGGAAGCTCATAAATATTAACTTTGAACAACCAAAAGAAAATAACTATTTTTTCTTTGAAAGGATCACAGAGAGCATTATCAAGATTTAAAACATCTTAGCTGCATGATCATAAATGCCTCACAACAAAAGGTCACTGAGAGTTATGTAGGCATACTTTGGCCTAAAACATTCAATTTGCAAACACAATTTCCCTTTTGAACCTTGCCCACTAATCTCTAGGTCTTCATTAACTTTCTTCTAAATAACACTTTCTACCATCCATCAATTTCCCCTACACCTTCTTATTTTTTCCCTTGTTACCTTTCATACACTACAGTAGCGAACACCAGACGGAAATATAAGCCTGCTTATGTTTCACTCACCAGCAAGATTCAGTCAAAAAAATCATAGAATATCTTGAGTTGGAAGGGATCCATAAGGATCATCGAGTCCAACTCCCTGCTCCTCTCAGGACTACCTAAAACTAAACCATATGACTAAGAGCATCATCCAGACACTCCCTGAATTCTGACAGGATCAGTGCCGTGGCCACTTCCCTGGGGAGCCTGTTCCAGGGACTGACCATCCTCTCAGTGAAGAGCCTTTTCCTAATCTCCAGTCTGAACTTCCTGTGACACAGCTTCATTCCATTTCCTCGTGTCCTATCGCTGGTCAGCAGAGAGAGGAGATCAGCACCTTCCTCTCTGCTGCCCCCCTTGAGGAAGTTGTAGACTGCGATGAGGTCACCCCTCAGCCTTCTCTTCTCCAAGCTGAACAAACCAAGTGACCTCAGCTGCTCCTCCTACGTCTTGCCCTTGAGTGCTTTTCACCATCTTGGTCACCCTCCTCTGGACACACTCTAGTAGTTTGATGTCCTTCTTATATTGAGGTGCACAAAAGTGCACAAAGTGCTCAAGGTGGGGCCACACCAGTGCAGCATAGAGTGGGACAATCACCTTCCTCAACTGGCTAGCAGTGCTGTGCTTGATGCACCCCAGGACACGGTTGGCGCTTTTGGCTGTCAGGGCACACTGTTGACTCAGGTTCAACTTGCCATCAACCCAAAACGCCAGATCTCTTTCTGTGGGGCTGCTTTCCAGCCTCTCGTCCCCCAATTTGTACGTATAAACAGGATTACCCTGTCCCAGGTGCAGAATCTGGCACTGGCTCTTGTTAAATTTCATACAGTGGGTGATTGCCCAGCTCTCTAGTCTATCCAGATCTCTCTGTAAGGCCTCTCTACCCTCAAGGGAGTCCACAGCTCCTAGTTTAGTATCATCGGCAAACATACTTAATGTACATTCAACTCCTGCATCCAGAATAGAGCTGAATCTGCCATTGGTTTTTCATGACAGAAGAGAGGAAGGAAACTGGTACCTTATGTTTTCCTACACACCTTTTCAACATCAGAGGAAAAAACCCAAACAACAAAACAAAGAAACCACAGCTAACATATATTTAAAATTTTTGCTGTGGAACAGGGTCAGCTTTCTCACCTCTTCTGTCTGAACAGGAAAGGGAAAAGGCTGGAAAAAAGTTCCTACCACATATCTTATTCTGGCAGGCAAGTTTGTTTGCCTTTTTTTCCCCAATATTATGAACATTCCAATTGCAGAATAGCTCTGCAGTATTTATTCTATGCTGCATATGTAGCCTATTTTGGGAATTTACATCAAAACACAGTATCTTCAGGTAACACCTGATTAATCACAGTCTTTCATTAGATAATTTTGTTTAGAGGAAAGCTACAAGCAGAAAGACACACAGCTTGCTATTTTTAAGAGGACGTCAATAAGGTTACGTACTCTGTGAAGACATTATCAACCTTCATAGATGATAGAAAGTCAATGTATCAAAACAGGAAGATGACAATTTTGTCAAACTACTTTAGGACTTGTGTATAAAATAAGAATTTCTTAAGATGATGAAAGGATGCAGAAGAAGCCTTTTCTAGGAGATACCTAGTGTTTCTGTCTGTGTTTTAGGATTTATGCATCATCACTATAAATACAATTGGCTAGGGCAGGTTTTGTTAAGTTCACTTGCTTAAAAACTAAGCAAAGTGCCTGCTTTAAGATACACTGCTGATGTAAAAAAAAGCATTCCTACTAGTCAATATAAGTGAGGAAAATAGCAAGTACCATCATCTTTGCATGAATCAAAATACAAAAGTTTTAACTTGCCACAACATGGCTTTTACAGGACATATTTACGCATAGTCCATATCTTAACCACTTTTGTGTTGAAATGGAGATTAAATTCTGAAACAATGTTTTAAAAGCTGCTCACGGGACAGACTTAAAATATCAACAACCTCAGAAACAAACTGAATGCCTCTCATGGGACAGACTTGAAATATCAGCAACCTCAGAAACAAATGAACTTCATATATAACCTAGAAAACCAATGTTTGGCTGAATAAAAATATTTACTTTTCAAAATGTAATTGCTAAGACAGACTCTCTAGTCATCTGTTTCAAGATGTATCAATCATCAGTAACTACAGAACACAAATTAAGAAAACCCAAACCCTTTATTTTTTGACTACCACATACGGTTGCAGAAGAGTAGGGCCATATTGAATAGTGGCTTCCTTTCTACATAATATTTTCAAAACATCAAGACAGCAAATATTTAATTAACAAAAACAAACTTTAAAGTGTTCACAAATTATACGTGTGCTGTTTTGGCAAATATTAAGTTACATTAAAATGCTTCACCACTGAATGTATACTCCCTTTTTGTTCTAACATAGTAGCACTTTCCAGTTTTTATTAAGTTTACAGCCACAGAATAGAGTGTTGTTACACAATATGCTGTTAAAAGAGATATTTGAGTATCTAATTAGGAGAGGTGATAAATATACAAAGCAAAATTACAGAAGTAGCATTCTGGAACCTTCAAACAAGATTCCTCACTCACTCACCAGTAACGCTGCTTTTCAGTCCAGGAACAGATTTATTATCATGAACCAAATTGTTATAGTTTCACAAATTCCTATGTTTTCAAATAGGTACAGAACTTACTTTTCCTTTGGAAAAGTTTGCAGTGTTTATTTGCAGAGAAAAAAAAAAATAGGTGGCAAGCACCATGATTTACAACACTGAGTAGCAAATAATTACACCACACATTTGGAAAACCACCAATGTTTGAGAGTTTTTCAGTTATTGGCTAAACAACTGCAAATATCTTTGCCAAAAGCAGAATGTCTAATCAAAAGTGACTTTTGCATACAGAAAAACTTATTCTCTATTTCAAGAGGAAAGTTCAACTAACTATAGTAAAGACTGCGACTGTGTCTATTCAGTTGTGCAACCCAGTTTTCAATTCCAATCTTATTCACAGCTTACAAGCTGCATCTCATGTTTTAGCATGTAGCAAGCCTGTTCCTCCTCCGGTTGTTCACAAAAATTCAGTTCTAGAGATGAAAGATAATGTACTAGCAAGCAATGCTGTACTGGTTTTACCGTGCATTTCTTCCAGAAGTTCCACTACAGACTCCCCATACATTGCTGGTACAAGGCGAACTATTTGACTGCAAACAAGACAGACACTCAGAAGGCACTCACAAAGATTTCACCTATGAGATGGCAAGTCCCTGTCATCTTTGACTCTCAACTCTTACTTGCTGCTCTAATTGCGAGCACCACTTGAGATGCTGCTCTTTTAATTCGACACAGGGCAAAATATCACCATCTTGAATTAAACCATCTCCTCTAACAGTTTTTCACTCTACAAAGCAGTAAGGTTACAGAGCAAAGGGCTTTATGATGTTCAACTGCAACATAAAGTAGACAACTTTTTCATATATTTCTCCTAGGTAAATATAAGGGATACAAGGTCATTAGTTCAATCTTGAGATATGCCCTACTATATTTAATCATATATAGCAACCTGATGCTAAGTTTTAGACTAATTTTTTCATTTTGTTAAATTCTGGTTCTTCCCATCAGAAACTCACCACAAGGTGAGCCACTCAGAACAGCAAACACATATAGGAAACTGCATTTATTAGTGGCTTAATAGGCAAATTGTAGGACATTGCATTAAAATATAGCATATAGGTCATGGTGTGGAAAAAGACAGTTTATATATATATATACAAAAGCATACATAAAAAGGAAATACAACAGCTGTTCAACATCACCTTGTAGTAAAGAATGTTTTAGAAGTGTTCTCTGGAGGGAAAATTATTTAGGCTCTCAGCAATGCAGAAATTAGGGAAGAGAATACACAGAAACGGACAAAACTAAAAAGATCATGTGAAAAACAAGGAACCTTTCAAACATGACTGCATAATGAAGTACAAAAGATAGACTTAAGGTAAAATAGGCAAGTCTGTTGCATCTAAGACTAAATAACAGTGATATCAGTCATATCATCCTGATAAAATATCAATATACATATAATATATAAGATGTATAAGACATATTTTAAAGATATGAGTATCTAGAGTTTGAATATGCATTTTGGATATATATTAAAAGATAATTTGAACTCATGATCTTTCCAGAAGATATAAAGCTGCAGATGCTCTAAATCTTTGAAACAGAAGTCAGCTACTTATTGAGATACCTTTAGTTCAGTGTATGCACATTAAAACTCTGGCCCCAAAGCTGGAAAAAAAATTGCTTTAGAGCATGTACATACAGGCAGTTCTTATGCAATTTCAACAGAGCACAAAGGTAACATTAAAACATAAATAAAGGATTTTTCTTCAGTTTATGATTTATCTTGCAAAATGTTAAATTTTTGTGCAAAAAAAGTCAAATTAATTTACAATCAAATGCATGGAAAAATTGATTTTCCACTTAGAGAAAAGAACATAACTTCTACTAACCTTCAGGATCAAGGAGTTTCTCTATACCCAGATGTTGCCTGGCTATGTTGAATGCATGGTCTAATCGTTGTACAGGTGACTGCTGAGAAGCAACAGCGTTCCAATCAAATAGGTCTGGTCTACAGCAAAAATAAGAGGAACAGTAAGTTTCTTCTTTTTTAGCATTAGATTTAATTACATTTTTCTATGGCTATCCATTGGCATCAGCTGCTACTTTTATATTTTCTTAATGAAAGAACTTGTTCAATCAGCACTGGAACTAATGAAGCTTGGTTTCTAATGGGTTTGTATCCTAAACTCATCCATGTTCACCACCATCACATTAAGGACATTTCTTATTCTCACCTAAGTCTCAACAACCTATAGACTCACTCCCCTAAACCTCCTGTTTTCACCCATAGCGCTCTGCTCCTGTCACTGCCCAAAATGCCAACAGTGGGCTTGCTCTCCTCTTCCAGTCCTGAAGAGTGCTTGGGTGAGAAGGATCATGTGCTGTGGCCATGCACACTGGGACTGGCTCGTGGCAGGCCAAGAAGGACAAATAAATGCTGAGGTAATTTTGCAGCCTTCATCCTCTCTCCAGCCACCAGTTTTTCACTTCAGTTCACTTACTATTTATAAGAATGTAATTGCTTCTGAGATTACCAGCTTGCTGTTATATCCGATTGAAATCAGTCAACAGGTTCAAAAATTCATGACCTGGGAATGTATGCAGCATAGCTGCACATGCCACTTTTCTTACAAAAACCTTTAGAAAAAATACACACTTTTCAGACGAGTATAAAACTGTAGTCCAATCATAGGTTTTAGCTGATAGGACCAAAAGCACTAGAGCACAATTTAAATGCCCTTGCAGGAAAAGACAGAATGACCAAAACTGAATTATAGCTCAGATACACAATCTGAGCCCTTGTATTATCAGTTGCACTATTTGCAATATAAATAATGTTGATACACTGTGATCTTTGGCATTTCATCTAAGAGTTATCCATTAGGAGATCAGAATTTGTTATCAGGCACTCTGGAAAAAAGTTTAATCAGGTATTCTGTAATTAATGTGCATATAATATGAAGAAAAACAACTACACTGTTTGTGACTTTGACGCAGTGTTCTAAATCAGAAAACATTTAAACGTATAATTTTACCTACAGATAAATCAAGTATGCTATTTACACAAATTAAAATGTTGCAATTAGTTATGACAGATTTACTTACATTTTTATTAATTTTAAAAGTTCATTTTAAACAGTCTCCCATAGTTATAATAGATGGCAAAAATGTTCACTACATCATGCTGTAATAAAGTCAAGAGAGCAAAGGAAAAATGCCATTTATGTAGTAGCAATCTCCCAGTTATGCACCTTTGCTGTCCAATATTTTTCTGAGAGGGGTGCAATTTACATAGTAACAATTAAGTTATTCTAAGGTATTTTGCTTCTCTATGCAGAAGGTTTCTCCTTCCCACAAGCAGAAAATGTCGCCAAGGCAAGCAGCTCCAGTGCCAGCAGGATCCGCAGTGGAGTGCTTTAGTGCAGTGCATGGGGTAGTTTTCCTAACCAGGGGAACCTCAGGGGCAGCCGAGAGAGCCGCCAGGAGCCTGCAGCTCATGCAACAGCAGCTGATAAGACCTGGGCAGGGCCAAGAGCAATGGTGGCCAAGCCCCCAACACCTACAAAAGAAGCCCTTAGAGAGTGCTGGCGATCAGGAGCACCACCAACAGCACAGGCAAACAGGACGCGGCACATCAGCAAGGGCGTGGTGCAGCAGATCGCGTAGCAGGGTGTGCAGGAAGGGCGTTGAAGATCTGCCATCTCGACCAGGGAAAAGTAGTATGCACCCCACAGGAAGCCATGGTGTCTCTAAGCTCTGCACCCACCACAACTGATGCAGCTTCCCAGACCGAGCTCCAGCAGGAACACACTGCCACACAGGTGTCAGGCTGCAGGGCGTGCCCTACTCTTATGTCAGTACCAGAGGGCAGCAGTGAGCACACCTGTGGGAGGTGTGTCCAGGTAGAGGAAGTCCTTCACTTAGTGACAGAGCTCTGGGAGGTGAGTAGGTTGAGGAGTATCAGGGGAGAGACTACTGGAATCGCATCCTGCCTTCCCTGAAACAGGCCCAAGAGGCAGACCAGGACCCATGATATGGGGGATTCCCTATCCTCTCTCCGCCTGGCTGAACACAGTAAGTTAAGGCATAGGGGGCAATGGCAACAAGCTCCTGCCCGACGCAGCAGGCGCGTCTCTTCTGTGACTGCCCCATCTTCCCAGGTGCCCTTGCATAACAGGCATGAGGCTCTGCAAGTGGAACCAAACAATGACAAAGATGATGGTTCATCTAGCTTGGAGGCATTGCCAAGGTTAAGTCGGCCTACACCCTGCATCAAAACTGCTTCCATAAAGAAAAAAGAGACAGATCACGGTTATAGGAGACCCTCTTCTGACAGAAACAGAAGGCCCAATGTGCAGACCAGACTCACTAAGAAGTCTGCTGCCTCCCTGGGGCCCGGGTTAAAGATGTGAAAGCTTCCTACCCTGGTACAGCCCTCAGATTACTATCTATTATTGATTTTTCAGGTAGTCAGCAATCAAGTTACAACAAGAAGTCCTAGGGCAATCAAGAGAGACTTCAGGGCCTTGGGACAACTGGTTAAGGGATCAGGAGCACAAGTTCCAGTTTCAGGGAATGATGAGGAAAGAAACAGGAAGAGCCAGCAGATCAATACCTGGGCTCCAAGCCCGGTGTCACTGGCAAGATTTTGGGTTTTTTGGTCATGGGTTGGTTTACACAACACCAGGCCTGCTGGCGACAGACAAGGTACACTTCTCTCACAGGGGAAAAAGGATCCTAACACAGGAGTTAGCAGGGCTCACTGAAAGAGCTTTAAACTAGATTTGAAGGGAGAAAGGGATAAAACCAGGCTCACTAGAGATAAGCCTGGCGGGGGCACACCAGTGTTTGAGGGACAGTGTGCTAGCGCGGTCCTTCGACCTGCCGTCTCATGGACATACAAGATGGAGATCCATGCGGCAGCAAAGATGCAAGGGCTATGGATGTGTTAAACCACAGAAGTGCCTGAGAATGGTCACATAGGAAGTAGGGCTTCTTCCTCCGAAAAGGTGGTGGGATCAATAGAACAACTGAAGTGCATCTACACCAATGCATGCAGCATGGGCAACAAATGGGAGGAGCTGGAAGCCATTGTGCAGCAGGAAAACTATGATACAGTTGCCATCACAGAAACATGGTGGGATGACTTGCACAACTGGAGTGCTGCAATGGATGGCTAGAAACTCTTCAGAAGGGACAGGCAAGGAAGGAGAGGCCATGGGGTAGCCATGTATGTTAGGGGGTGGTTTGATTGGCTAGAGCTTAAACAATGGTGACAACAGGGTTGAGTGTTTATGGGTAAGAATCGGGGGGAAGGCCAACAAGGCAGATCTCATGGTGGGAGTCTGTTATAGACCACCCAACCAGGATGAAGAGGCAGACAAAATATTCTGTAAGCAGCTGGGAGAAGTCTCACAATCACTAGCCCTTGTTCTCATGGGGGACTTCCACTTACCAGATGACTGCTGGAAATACCATACAGCAGAGAGGAAACAGTCTGGGAGGTTCCTGGAGTGTGTGGAAGATAACTTCCCGACACAGCTGGTGAGGGAACCAACTAGGGAAGGTGCCACGCTGAACCTGCTGTTTGTGAACAGAGAAGGCCTGGTGGGTGATGTGATGGTTGGAGGCCATCTTGGGTGCAGCGATCATGAAATGATAAAGTTTTCAATTCTTGGAGAAATAAGGAGGGGGGTCAGCAGAACTGCTACCTTGGACTTTTGGAGGGCAGACTTTGGCCTGTTCAGGAGCCTGGCTGACAGAGTCCCTTAGGAGGCAGTCCTGGAGGGCAAAGGAGTCCAGGAAGGCTGGGCATTCCTCAAGAAGGAAATCTTAAAGGTGCAGGAGCAGGCTGTCCCCATGCGCCAAAAGATGAGCCAGTGGGGAAGAAGACCGGCCTCACTGAACAGATTGCTTTGGCTGGAACTCAGGAAAAAAAGGAGTTTATGACCTTTAGAAGAAGAGGCAGGCCACTCAGGAGGACTACAAGGGTGTCGTGAGGTTATGCACGGAGAAGATTAGAAGGGCCAAAGCCCAACTAGAACTTAATCTGACTACTGCCGTAAAAGACAATAAAACATGTTTCCATAAATACATTAGCAACAAAAAGAGGGCTAAGGAGAATGTCCATCCTTTATTGGATGCAGAGGGAAACATAGTGACAAAGGATGAGGAAAAGCCTGAGGTACTTAATGCCTTCTTTGCCTCAGTCTTTAATAGTCAGACCAGTTGTTCTTGGGGTACCCAGCCCCCTGAGCTGGAAGACAGGGATGGGGAGCAGAATGAAGCCCCCATAATCCAAGGGAAAATGGTTAGCGACCTGCTACATGAATTAGACGCACACAAGTCTATGGGGCTGGATGGGCTCCACCCAAGGGTACTGAGGGAGCTGGTGGAAGTGCTCACCAAGCCACTTTCAATCATTTATCAGCAGTCCTGGCTAACCAGGGACATCCCAGCTGACTGGAGGTTAGCAAATGTGATGCCCATCTACAAGAAGGGCTGGAAGAAGGATCCAGGGAACTACAGGCCTGTCAGTCTGACCTCAGTGCCAGGGACGGTCATGGAGCAGATCATCTTGAGTGCCATCATGCAGCATGTACAGGACAACCAAGGGATCAGGCCCAGTCAGCATGGGTTTATGAAAGGGAGGTCCTGCTTGACTAACCTGATCTCCTTCTATGACAAGGTGAACTGTTTGGTGGATGAGGGAAAGGCTGTGGATGTTGTCTACCTGGACTTTAGTAAAGCCTTTGGCACCATTTCCCACAGCATTCTCCTGGAGAAAGTGGCTGCTCATGGCTTGAATGGGCATATGCTTCGCTGGGTAAAAAAAAAGGCTGGATGGCAGAGCCCAAAGAGTTGTGGTGAATGGAGTTAAATCCAGCTGGAGGCCTGTCACAAGTGGTGTTCCCCAGGGCTCAGTACTGGGGCCAGTTCTGTTTAATATCGTTATCAATGATCTGGATGAGGGGATTGAGTGCACCCTCAGTAAGTTCGCAGGTGACA